ATATCTGTCATTTGTGTGTTTTTAGCTTTCTTCCTGTATGGAAAGCTTTTCAAAATTTGAAACATTAGTGCAGTGGTTTATGTTAAAATAAACCTTTGGGTTGTGTTTTCGCAAACAGGTTTTTCTTGTGTTTTTTGTAGATTTGGTCTTACATTTTTATTTCAAGTGGCATTAAAAAGTCTTAAAAAGTCTTAAATTTAACTTGCCTTATGCTGTAGGAACCCTGGAGATTATAAAAATTGCCGTTAGCTGACAGAGCAACCGACTTTCAGCAGCAATTATACCATAATTGTAAAATATATATGTATAGACATATTGCATTTAAGATGGAAAAAAAAACTTTGTCATTTGTCAATGCTCTATCCAGAACTCCTCCAGTGGACAGGTTTTAGCTTTAGCTGCTTTAATTTAATAAAAGTCTTCTTTACGGAACCTTTTGCTATCAAATTATTAGTCGATTAATAGAAAAAAATAACCGACAGATTATGGAATTTGCAAAGTAATCGTTAGTTGTGGCCCTAGGTAGAAAAAAAGGGCACATTGACCAGGACTAATGCAGCCTTTTCTTGGGCTGAAGATGTTCTGCTGCGATCTAGATAGTTAATTACACTTGGAATAAAATTGCATCTTATAAACAATTTTCTAATTGCGGAGGCGCTTGTTGCAGGTTAGGGCTGAACCGCTCAGCTAATAATTAAAACTGTAATATTGTAGGACAACGTTTAACTCAAGGGGTCTGGTTGTTTTCATCACAGTTTAAAGCTCAGCTCATCATCCCAGGACTTCTATGTTACTCTTACTGTGGGAAAGTGTTTACTTCTGATCTCTTGTATGATTCTGCATACAAGCTCAACTATTTCTTCCCATTTTTGTGGTGGAAACCCCATTTTGAGTGTCTTAATTTTAGTGTTAAATTTAATGTAACCATCATTTATTGCCTCTGAAGTGTAAAACTTTGGTTTCGTTAGATTGTGATTATGATTAAGTGCAGATCTGGATTGAAAGTGAGCACTTTTTCACTAAGCAATAGTGTCCCATGTTGATGGAAAGTGAGCCAGACCTCAGTATGCTTGCATACAGAGGGAAGTGGTTGCCTAGTGGTTAGTGCATAGTGCTTAGAGTCCTGAGGTTGTGAGTTTGAAACAGTCTCCTACAGTCTGCCACTCTGGGTCCCTGAGCAAGACCCTTAACCTCACACTGCTCCTGATGGGGATGGGTTAAATGCAGCAAGTTAATTTATTTGCTCTCTTCTTGTGACAGTGTAATGACAATAAAATGCTGGGGGGAAAAGAAAATAGTCCAAATAAACTACAATTTTGGTAAATAAAAATACCAAAAACACTGTTTTTTAAATTTTTTTATGTTATTTATACAGTTCTGGTTCTTTTGTAATCTTCCTGCTCAATTTGGTTTCATTAATCTTTGAATGACCAAGATGCAGAGGTGGAAAGAGTACTAAAAA